GAGAGACAGTGTGAGCAGGGGAGGGTCAGAGAGAGAGGGAGTCACAGACTGAAACAGGCTCCAGGCTCTGAGCTGGCAGTCAGCACAGAGCCCGACGCGGGGCTCGAACCCACGAACCGCGAGATCATGACCTAAGCGAAAGTCGGACGCTTAACCGACTAAGCCACCCAGGCGCCCCTATTTTAAGTGATTTCTACACCCAACATGGGGCCTGAACTCATGAACTGGAAGAACAAGAGTCACATTCTTCGAACTGAGCCAGACAGGCACCCCAACTTTCATGATATTTTTCCTTTTTGTTTTATTCAAAAAAATTCTTTTATACTTATTTACTGTAAGGAAGAAAGAGTGTGAGCAGGGGAGGAGCAGAGAGAGAGGGAGACACAGAATCTGAAGCAGGCTCCAGGCTCTGAGCTGTCAGCACGGAGCCCGACGCGGGGCTTGAACTCACAGAACACAGGATTATGAACTGACCAAAGTCAGATGCTCAACCGACTGAGCCACCCAGACGCCCCCACGGTATTTTTAAATTAAAAGTTAAAAACTTGGGGGTCTGGCTGGCTCAGTCAGTGGAGCACGAGACTCTTGATCTCAGGGCTGTGGTTTCGAGTTTCACATTCAGTACTGAGATCACTTAAACTTTAAAAAAAGTTAAAAACTCACTTTTTTTTTCAAAGGTCGAGATTAACTGATCTTTCACTGAAGATGAAACTAAAATTCAGGGGCGCCTGGGTGGCTCAGTCGATTAAACATCCAACTGCGGCTCAGGTCATGATCTCACAGTTCGTGGGTTCGAGCCCCGCGTCGGGCTCTGTGCTGACAGCTCAGAGCCTGGAGCCTGTTTTGGATTCTGTGTCTCCCTTTCTCTCTGACCCTTCCCAGCTCACACTGTCTCTCTCTCTCCCTCTCTCTCAGAAATAAAACATTAAAATTTTTTTTTAAAAACCTAAAATTCAGAACTTCTTTCTATTTAAAACAGATTTAGTTTTAAACACTAACATGCCAGTAACAGTTACTGATCCAAGACCACGAAAAACACCTTGCAGAGCAGAGGTAACTCCAGATCTGTCACTCAGGCTGACCCGACATGTAATTCTCAACACCTGTCTTACCACCTTTACTCTAATTCCCCTTCCACATTTTGCCAGGAAACTTGCATACACAGAATAAATGCCATTAAGGAGTTAAACTGTTTTAAGAAGGAAGAATGAAAATGCCCATGAGAAACAACATTTACTCTGCAGAGCCGCTTCTTCAAACACATTTCAAGTTCCTTTTCAACAGCAACCTCACGAGCCGTGAAAAGCTACCCCTGCGTGGTCCCCAGCGCGGGGTCGCTGCTAAGCACGGTCTGGGGAGCCCAGTCAGGTCCCCTCCCCGGGGTTCTCGGGAGGCCTGCCTGGGCTCCAAAGGTGACCCCGCAGCGTGCTGTATGAGCGACTGCCGCGTACGCAGTCACCTCCGCACATGACCAGGTACCGGCAGGAACCATCACCTCCTCACCCGGACAAGGGCCACTGGCACCAATGGCCCCAGCACGCTGTCTGCTGATGACCGGCTGGTGCCAGTGAGCGCACATAACGGGCTCTGTGACCACAGAAACGTGGGGGTGCAGCCGCCTGATCCTGTGCCCCAGCCTTCTGTGCGCACACACGCAAGATCCTTGCCCTTCTGTCTCCCGTGTGCACAGACACACTCTCCAGTGCACACACGTGTGACCTTGCCCTACAGTCTCCCGTGCGCACACAGAACGTGTGTGAGCGACACGCCCTGCCGTCCAGCCTGCTGACGGGCTTCCCTCCATGCCTCAGAGTTTATCCTAAGGCCTCATTTGAGTTTGTACAGTTGCAGGAAAACGTTCACCGTTCTTCCCCTTGATGCCATTTCTGCCTTTTGTTCTCTTTTGGACCCTGACAGAGACAGGGTTCTCCTCGATCACCATGTGCCGAGCTGTGAGCAGCTCCCCCTCCATCTACGGGCCGGTGGGGAAAGAGCGCCCCCTGCCGGAGCTCCTCAGACCCAGACAGTGTCCGTTCTCACTTAACAGGGTTCCGGGCTCTGGCAGGAACACACCTGGGGCCGGACAGCGCTCTGCTGCAGGGCGTCTAGAACATCCTGAGCGCCCCGCCCCAGCCTCTCGCCCAGGTGACCACCAGAAACGTCAGGAAGGGAAGCACTGTGCAAAATCAGCCGTAGCCGAGAGCCACGGACCCAGCACTGGGCAGGCCAGGCGGCAGAGCCCGAGGGAGCGCGGGCACTCACATGAGGGATGACGGGGGCCTGCACTCCTCAGTGATGTCGTTCAGGATGACGTGGGCGTCCTGCATCTCTTCCCGCTCGCCCTTCCGCTCGGCCACGTAGCCCTTCAGACCAAAGATCGCCGAGGAGGCTGCGGGAAGAGAGCAAAAAGCCAATACAAAACTGTGCTCTTCCCCCCAGAAGCCCTAGACCCAGAGCAAATGAGGGGGGATGGGGATGCTGGCCGTTTGACTCAGTGATGTCCTAACTGTGCACGTAAGCAAGCTATTCCCCTCCAGTCATCTACCTCCCCAGCTGCAAGCCTGTAACTAAAATCGGACCACTGACGACAAGGGTGGTCTCCGAAAGGCTGGGCGGGGGGCGCCTGGGTGGCTCAGCTGGTTAAGCGTCCAACTCTTGATTTTGGCTCAGGTCATGATCTCATGGTTCGTGAGATGGAGCCCGGTGTCAGGCTCCAAGCTGGGCATAGAGCCTGGTTGGAATGCACGCTCTCTCTCGGCCCCTACCCTGCTCACTCACAAACTCCCTCTCTCTCAAAAAATAAATAAATAAAAGGCTAAACAGTGAAGAGGAAGTAGTAGGTGACAGCAAGTTAGTAGCGACAGCTGAGGTTACGGCATTAAGTACCAGAGCAAGGAACGTGCTGTCATCCCAAACTGGGGCAAAGAATTATGTGCAAAACTAATCTTGTCAGTCATTTAACAAGGGCAGAAAAATTCCTAGTTCAGAGAAATGCATAGAGTTTATCCCAAATGCCCTGCTGGACATGTGAAACTGGCTAGTCCCATGCCTGAGGCCGGCAGAGAATCTGAACAAACGGTAAGACAGTTGCTTCTACTTTAAGTGAGGAAGGCGAGGATGAAGGAGCACACCACGGGCACAGACTGACAGAGAACGGCCAGGCCAGCTGAAGCCCGTTTTTGGACACCTTGGGCTATGCAAACAATAAAACGACTTTGACAGAACCGCTGCTGGTAAGCACGGCGCTCTGGAGGCTAGAGGCGATGACCAGCTAATCCTCGACCCCATCCGTCAGCGGGCCAGTAAGCTTCTCGTGCGCCTCCCAGCGCACCCCGCAGCTTTTGCCGGGCAGCCCTGGCCCAAAGGACAAAGTGGTGTGTTCAGTGTGTGCACATCCACGGGGACCTCTCTTTAACTGATATTTTCCATTTCTTCTCCATTCTGACAAGTCACAAAGCTGACTACAAATTTCACCTGGTTTTTCCAGCCTCAGGCTCCTTCTTGGGAAGCTGCCTACTAAGCTAATCACAGAAAGCGAAGTGTCCATCAACAGGTGTGAAGAAAGACAGCGAGTCAGAGGTAAAGTGGGGGCTCAGTAAGCTCACTGTTCACTAGAGAAGGTGAAGTCAACATGCCCTGGGTCTTCTAACCCTTGAGGAACAAATCATCTCACCAAAGTTGGGCCAGAGATGAGCAGGAATGTAAGGAGAGGAAGCAAAAGTTAACTTGGAAATCTGTTTGCACAAAGGGAACCCTACCAGCTTCTTAAATACAGACACGGAAAGGAAGTGTCCTGAATCAGAAAGCTGAGCTCGTTTTTGCTCCGGGTTGTTCTGAGATAGAAGTCTAATACATTTGTTTTCAAACTGTCTGAAAACCTTTACAAACTTTCTTTTCCACAAGCTCTTCACTGCCGTTCTTCTCTTCTTCGGGGGCTCTTCTCTTTGCTCCTTTCCCTTCGCTCTTTACCATCTGGGACATCGAAGTGTCAGGAGAACCTGGACACAAGGACAGACAGACACAGCTGTGGACCGTCAGAAGCGCCCAGCAGACCAGGCCCCACCCTAGCCCTGAGACACGAAATGACGGGCAGCGCGAGCACCAGCAGAGAGGCAGGCGCAGAGATCACAGCAAGGACTTCGAGGGGCGGCGGTGAGCCCGGGCACCCACGGGGGGGGCGACCACAGCTTAGCATCCACGTCCTGCTCAGGCCAAGTGCAAGAGAGGGTCTCCAAGGGAGGGTTCTCAGTGGTAAAAACACAGCCCACATTTTGGGGCCGTGGTGCACACATCAGGTCCCATATCTGCAGGCCCTCATTAACAGGGAAGTTACCAAAATCTGCAGTGGCATATCCTGAACAAGTCAAAAAAGTACTAAGTACCCAAAGGGGGGGGTACAATGAGGTAAATGTCAGGCTTTGGGAACTGCAGTGTGATGACAGGCCAAGCAGGACAGGCCCGCTAAAGCCATCCACACCTGCAGACGGATGGCTCTGGACTCCAGCCAAAAAGCCAAGAGCGCCTGCCATGTGTGTGCATTTTGGAAGGAGAGAAGTCTCGTTTCAAATCCTGGTTCTGCCACCCGCAGGAGTGTGCCCTTAAGGCAGGTTACTTAACCTCCTAGCCTGTTTCCTCATCTGTAACACAGGGAGAACACTGTCATCTCGGAAGGTGGGGACAAGGTACGTAAAAGCACTGATCACGGTAATGCGGTCATCACCTATCCAATAAATGGCAGCCGTTGCCATAATTAATGGCTCTAAGCATTCTCTGCATTTTAGTATAAAAGCACGTGACCTTGGGGCGCCTGGGGAGCTCAGTTAGTTGGGTGTTTGGACTTTGGCTCAGGTCACGATATTGCCATTTGTGAGTTCGAGCCCCGCATCAGGCTCTGTGCTGACAGCTCAGAGCCTGGAGCCTGTCTTCGGATTCTGTGTCTCCCTCTCTCTGCCCCTTTCCCACTCATGCTGTCTCAAAAATAAACTTTTAAAAATTAAAAAAATAAATAAATAAAAGCACGTGACCATTTACTTGTGTTCACCAGACATTCCTGCGCACGGAGGGAAAGGGAAGAAAATGACCCTGCTGTCAGGAAGAGTCAATTACTTGCCCAAGAATAGATATTTGCAGCAGCAGAACAACACACACACACAAACCCTGCCGCACGTAATAAAGCACGTTCACTGCAAAAATTTCACAACTGTTTCCAATACACCTTCCCCGGAGGTCCCTCCAGTCATTTCCGGTCACGCTTCCGGTCACGTTACCTGTTGTTTTCCAGGGCGTTTGTAAGACAATCTTTCTCTCTTTTAACTTGCAAAGCGGAGACATTTTTACAGCTTTGTTACGGACTCCTGACTGAATCACTTTGTAGTCAGGGAATGTGGTCTGTATATGAAATCAATGCATTACTGGGACTTACTCTATGGCCTAGCATGTAGTCGATTTTGTAAATGGTGAATATGTCTTCTCAAAAATTCAATGCATTGGATGCAAGGTTAGATTCTAAATCCGAAAAAAACAAGCCTGTTAATAACGGTGCAAATTCTTCTAAATTGTTACTAGTTGACTGTCTTTTGCCCTATGAAGAACTAAGACACAACTATGTTGAATTTTCTTTTATTAAACCTGCTAAGAGCCCTGTTAGGTTGATGTTTGCACACATTAACGTTCACTGTTAAGAGTACTGTCCTTATAGGCAAGGTTTTAGGCTTAATGGTGAATGAGAGGATGCTGTGGTGTTGTGGTACAGCCCTGAACACCTGAGAATTCTCACAGAAGAGGGCTGTAATACCTTGTTCTAAATAGAGGAACTATGCTAATTTAACCCATACATTCTAAAGTAAGCCTGAGGATTTTTATGTCATGAATTAATGATATAAAAAGTCGACTTAAAAATCAGCAGCAAGTGTTGTACTTGACGACATTAGGAAGGGTTTTACACTGGCAGATAACTGCATGTGAAAACAGCCTGCCCCCCCATGCTGTCCTGCGGCCCCCTGCCCTGCCCTCACTTCGGGGCATTCTGGGTGGGAAGTCCTCAGTGAGACAGAAGGACGACATCACCGTGACCACCAACAGGACCTGTTCCTCTCTCCCCTGCTACCTGACTGGGGTGCAGGAAGGATGAAACACTTACAGGATCAGGTAAAACCAACGTTAACAGGCTTGATAAAAAGGAAATCAAATTCACAAAGACTCTTGAGAAAAAATAAGGATTGAAAATAATCAACTAAGGTCTTGAATTGCAAGAAAATTCCTGCACATGGTCTGTACCAGTCATTGTAAACCAGTGTCCTTCAGATTTTATTTTCTTAAGATCAAAACTCTTGTTAATGTAGGTACCATAAAAGAGAAGACTATCTGTGTTTACAGGTTCAGGGGTTTTAAAAATGTTTTAATATTTAATTTTAATAATTTAATTTTAATATTTAATATTTAACTATTTCATATCTTCAGATACTTCTGCTGAATACACTGGAGTCTGCCACAGACAGAGGCAGAGATAGACTGTGAGGTTTTTGATAAAATGTGAAAAACAAAGTTCAAATGACTGAACTCTTAATTCTGAAAGTCAGTTGCAAGAGGCTGAACCCCAAGAAGTAAAAGAATCACCAAAGAGTGATGTAATATATAATCTTTTTGCTTCCATATGCTGGTGCCTCTTTATTGTGTGATTTTAATCAATCTTATGCTGTACGGTGGTTTAATGTCATCCTAACCCCTGTTAAAACCTATTAATGAGTACATTTTACATAGGAATACAATTTTTATGTATTCTCTCCTTCCGCACATGCAATTTTTTCCCTCCCACTTACCTGAATCCCCACTGCTGGCTGGTGGGAGGTCATCGAAAAGCAAAGGTCCCCCCGGCCCTGAAACACAGCAGAGCACGCGGTGAGCCCACAGAACCCGGGGGAGGCCAGAGCTCCCGACTCCGTCCCACCAGGACACCTACACAGGTCAGTGACATCAACTCAAAACTCTGTGTCAATCCAGTGGCAACTCCTACTTCGGTAAATAATGTCTTGAATGAAACCTATTTTATTTTAAAGTCCTATCGATTCTAAGGAAACAAAAATCTGCCTGAAAGAGTGAAATCTGATTTCAGCTGGTAAAATAAATGCTCCAACGAACCGGAGGAAACTGCTCAACGTTTGTATGCAGCTCCTCGGGGCTAGTGACTAGCGGATTTTTCTGCCTTACCTGATGCCAGGGATTCAAAACTTAAGACAGTCCAACACCTAAAACATCTGCGTGTTGAAAATGGGGGAAAGGGAGAAAGATTTGAGACAACTACGACCCCAGGATGACGCGCTGACACACACCTGGGAGAGCCTGAAGACTGTACCTGAGTCAGTACTGCTGGCCGGAGGGAGGTCGTCGAAGAGCAGAGGTCCCTTCTGAGCTTCTTTGCCTAGAACACAGAGCGCCTGCTTAACGAGCATCTGGTCACCGGCCAGGGCAGGTTTTCAAAGGGGTGGGGGGAACCTTCTGAGATGTTTGCCAATAAACTCAAATTTTCTCCTCTTTGGTGGGCAGAATTTTAAAAAGCAGTTTCTAGACAGCTATTTAACACAGACATTTGCTTCCAACGGTTACAGTCAACATAAAAGCAATGAAAGATGACCCAACTGGCACTTGAAGGGCCACTGGGTCTTTTGAGAAAAACAAATATGTTTTCTCCATAATTTCATGCCTGAAAGCAACAAACACTTAAAACCTTTCTTTCAAAATAAATCCTGGGAAGAAAAATATGGATTCTAGGGCTAGAAAACAATTATTGGGTCCCTCAAGATAAAACCTCAAAGACAGAGGACTCTTCAAAGATTTATGGTATTCAAAAGTCCTACTTCCACAGCATTCTGAACAAACCACCAACTAGGAGGTCACACAAACGAGCACAAAGAAAGTGAGAGGTGGAGGGAAGCAACTCGATGTCAACTCGGCGTCCCCAGTGCCACATCAGTTACCATCCATGGAGAAAACGAGGACTCTCAGATACTCTAAGATACACTCAGCGGAAAGCCAGGGAAATTTCTTACCTAAAAGTCTGAAGATTTACAAACCAATGTGTCTTTTAAATGCTTTACACTCCATCATCCCATTCCACATAAAATTTAACCACTGCTCCCTATTCCCCAGCTTTCCCCGAATTTATATGCAAGCTGTTAAACACATGAACGCGGGGGAACACAGGGCAAAGATGCAGGTGTGCACATTCCCGTCCTGCGTTCGTTCGGCCCGTCTGGTCCTTGGAGTCCAAGTGCAGAAATGCCCTCGTTTCACAACCAGTTCATGTGTAAGCTCAGAAAGGCTCCGTATCATACTTTTGCCTCTATGTAGAAACGAACTGGGTATCAATTCTACTCTTCTAAAAACAAAGTTCAAGTTAAAATTTAGAAACTCCAAGGAAAGAAATATCTTGTACCTAATACCTGATAAATTCCTGGTTTAACAAAAAAGTTAACTCTTCTGCTTTACACCCTAATTCAAATGGGAAATGACACCATTCTCCCTCAGGATTTCCCAAAGTAACTATAAATACTACCATTTTTCTCACATGTGACACAAACACCCTACACAAAGTACTCACAAAGCAGCCTCACCAGGACACTTAACAGCGTGCGGAATGACTGCTTAGTCAATGATCCAAGAATCCCTAGGTCCTAACCAGGCACTTCCGAGAGCAACCCAGGCCACAGCGTGTCTGAGCTTCAGACACCCATTCCCCTAACAGGCTGGAAATGCACACTGCGTGTGTGTGGGGGGGGGGGGCGGAGGGCCAGGCGCCTCAGGAGGGAGGGGTTACAGGGAGGGGGCCCACCTGAGTAGCAGCCCACCCCTCCACTCGGGCCGGGTCAGATTTTCATTTCTGAATCAAACTACCCATTTGAATCAGGTCCCTCCACTGCCACTGTCCAATGGGGGAGGCCCTCTCCCCCCAGGGGACACGGTTTGGGGCCTTGCCGGCGCTCCTCACGACCGCACTCCCAGTACAGCCCCAGCCCGGCCTCTGTCACCCCAGGCAGCAGCCCATCTCCTGCGCCTCCCCGCCGGATCCTGGAAGACCCTAAGTGCTATTTCAGTTAAGCACGAGATCACCTCCTTTCTTTGGGCCACAACTGAGAACGGCTAATAAAAACAAGGACACTTCTGTCCGCAGCCCCCCAGGCACCACTGTAGCACTCCATCTATCCTCAGTGCATTCCATCCTTCCAACCCTTTTGTGAGGTGAGTACGATTACCACGTTCCTACTGATGAGGAAACTGAGGCAATCAGGTGAAATAACGCCCAAGGGGGAGCCTGTCAGGAGTGGGGAGTCCAAGCCTAGTTCCCAGTCCATGCTCCTGTGCGGTGCCACACCGCCTCCGGGCAACATCTCATTCAACCCTTCCAACAACCCCACCAAGAGAATCCCAGTCTCTGGAATACTTTCTGCATCACTGAAAGGATCACGCAGGGTAGCGTGCATTTGGATTCTTTAAAAAAAAAAAAAAAAAAGAGAGAGAGAGAGAGAGAGAAATCCATGGGGGGTCTGGCTGGCTCAGTCAGTAGAGCAGGCAACTCTTGACCTCGTGGTTCCGAGTTCAAGCCCTATGTTGGGTATAGAGATTACTTAAAAATAAAATCTTAAAAAAAATATATGGGGGCACCTGAGTGTCTCAGTCGGTTAAGAATCTGACTTCATCAAGAAGATATGGTTTATCTACACGATGGAATACTCCATGGCAATGAGAAAGAATGACATCTGGCCACGTGTAGCAACATGGATGGACCTTGAGGGTGTTATGCTGAGCGAAATAAGTCGGGCAGAGGACAGATACCTTATGTTTGCACGTATAGGAGGATTAGGAGGAACTTAACTGAGGAACAAGGGGGAGAAGAAGGGGGGAAATGGTGGGGGAAAGGGAGAGAAGCAAACCATGAGAGACTCTTGAATGCTGAGAACAAACTGAAGACTGATGGATGTGGGGGGGAGGGGGGAGGGGCATGGAGGAGGGCACTTGTGGGTATGAGCACTGGGTGTTATATGGAAACCAATTTGACAATAAACTATTTGTAAAATAAAAAAAAATAAAAAAAAAAGAATCTGACTTCAGCTCAAGTCACAATTTCACGATTCACGAGTTCGAGCCCGGCGTCAGGCTCTGTGCTGACAGCTCAGAGCCTGGAACCTGCTTCGGATTCTGTGTCTCCATCTCTCTCTGCCCCTCCCCTGCTCTCTCTCTCTCTCAAAAATAACATTAAAAATTGTTTTAAAAATCTATAAGTCATAAATGCTATAATGAAAACTTCTGATTACCAAGAACCTTACATCCTATTTTGGATAAATAGTAATTCAAAGTATTTGGGGCTGCAATGTGACTGTGACCCAAAACTTTGGAAGAAGGAGGCTCCCTCCTCCCCGAATTCTAAATATAAGAGCTTAATGAAGAAGGAAAAACAAAGCTAAAGACCATTTTTCATTACAGTCAGCCTCACCTCGGGGTTTCTGTTTCAAGTCACCTGCACTCTGAAGCTGAGAGGATTGCTCTTGGGTCGATCAGTCACGTCAGCTGAAAACCGCAACGCACAGTAACGCAACAGAAGGGTCACACAGTTCACCTAAACTGTTCTTTACACCTAACTTTTCAACTACAGACACAACACACCACAGAACCCTCAGGAAAAGCCCCCACTCGGCCACCACACTTCCCTGCACAGTAACGGAGGGGTGAAGGCAGAAGCGCACTGTACACAAACACGCACACCCTTGCTCACGAAGCCTCCGGGGCACGTTCCAGGCTGGCACACCTGGGTCTAGCTCTTGCTGACAGCTGGGGTGGGGGGGTCCAGTGTCCTTCCGGACGGGCGGGCGTGCAGGCGGCTTCCGGGGTTCCCACGTGACCAGCAACGCGGCAGGAAACCACCGCCGGGGGATGGACACACACCTGCGAGACTGCTGGTCGAAGGGGACGAGGGGCTTAAGTCCGATGGATGCCAAGGTCTGCTCCCCAGAAGATGTGGTAACTTCCACTCCCCGTACCCTTGCTGATTGTCCATTTCTCTCCATCCTCGCCGCCAGGTAGCCCTGGAGCCGCCCCCCCCCCCCCCCCCCCCCCCCGCCCAGGGGCAAGTGCAGCCCTGGCTCCAGGGCTCGGGGGGGCGGGGCTGGCCATTTGCACTTCTTCCCTGAGCTGTCAGGAGACAGCCTTTGACCATTTTCAAATGGGTCACTTGTCTTTTTTTTTTTTTTTTTTTTTTTTTTAGAGAGAGCATGCACGCAAGTGGGAGAGGTACTGAGGGAGGTGGAAAGGGAGGGGGGGGAGAGGGAGAGCAGAATCTTAAGAGCAGGCTTCACGCCCAGCGTGGGGCTCCAACCCACGACCCTGCGCCAAAACCAAGAGTCAGACACTCAACACTCAACCCACTAAGCCACCCAGGCACCGCAGTCTTTTTTTTTAATTGATGTGTTTAAGCCTTTTATTCATTAGGGCTCATTAGTAACATGTACTTAAATTATTTTCCGTTCATCTTTTGCCTTTGTGGTATTTTGTCCTGCAGACGTTTTTATTTTTACAAAGTTAAACCCATTTTAATTTTTTGTGAGTTTTTTCCCCTCGCTTATCCCTGAAGTTTTATGATTAGTCTTTTTTTTTTCCTAGTATCTTCAGCTTTATTTTATATTTAGGTCTCTAGGGTTTTTTTCAAAGAAATGTTCTGAAGAAGACTGACTCAGTCCCCCGCTAGCCGAGAGATTCCAAGCAGCCCGTGTAGCAGCCTAGGGAGGGAATCACCCTAGAAAACTGAGACCAACTTACTGCCAAAGCAGCTTTAAGCCAGGACGCCTTTAACGTGCTTGAATTATCAATTACAAGCTGTTGATCTGTAAGACATCAGGTTAGCACTTTTAGGAGTACGATGTAGCAGAGAAGTTTCATTTGGGTCTAACATGCACATACTTCCTCTTTCTGATAAACCCTCTACACACGAAAAATCCGATTTACTCAGCATTCAAATCTGTACATGCTGGCGTGGAAACTAATCATTTAGCACAAAATCTGAAAACAGTTTTATGCATTCTTTCTACATTTTTCTTCAGACCATAAAAATTAAAAGGCTTGGAGGCAGGAGCATTAGATGGAATGTCTAAAAAAAAAAAATCAAAGAGCTAAACAAAATACACTCGATGTGAGGTGAGCAGTGTGAAATTTCCTACCTTTCTACAAGACCCAGTTAAGAGTGCGTCTGTGTCCTCTCTAGGTAGCTGCTGAAGTCCACATCGCATGTGCTAACACGTACTAGGCACTGACCAGCGCTGCACCTGCACTAAGCACCGCACACGCAGTACTCGCTCTAACCCACGAGCTCACAGCAGGAGGCAACAATCCTAGTTTACAGACATGGGGAACAGCCACAGAGGCCAGTTACTGGATTTGAAACCAGTTTGATTCCATGTCCAAAACCACTCTTCTCGGGGACTGTGAGAATGACGAGGGCTGTTACGGTCCCCTGCATTGGCTCAGGAATCTGCGGCACCTGGATATCAGAGATGAGGGTCACAATGATGCAGTTTTGCCTCATCTTTCCATATACTTTATTATTTTTTGTAATGCTTATTTATTTGAGAGAGAAAGTGTGCATGTGCATGAGCGGGGGGGGGGGGGGGGGGGGGGGGGGGGGGAAGGGTTCAGAGAGAGAGAGAAGGAGGAAGATACAGAATCTGATGCAGGCTCCAGGCTCTGAGCTGTCAGCACGGAGCCCAACGTGGGGCTCAAACTCACAGACTGAGAGATCATGACCTGAGCCAAAGTCAGATGCTTAACTGACTGAGCCACCTGGGTACCCCTCCATCCACTTATATGAAATCAACCTTATTGGGGCGCCTGGATGGCTCAGTCTGTTGAACGTCCCGCTTTGGCTCAGGTCATGGCCTCATGGTTGGTGGGTTCGAGTCCCGCGTCGGGCTCTGTGCGGACAGCTAGCTCAGAGCCTGGAGCCTGCTTCGGATTCTGTGTCTCCCTCTCTCTCTGACCCTCTGCTGCTCACGCTGCCTCTCTCTCAGAAATAAATAAAACGTTAAAAAAAAATTTAGAAACCAACCTTATTTTCCTTTCACGTACTCGATTTTTAACTTTATCAATCAATACCATAGATTTTCTGAAGCAAAGTATGGCATTTAAGTTACTTTTTTGAAAATCACGTTATTTTCACAAGACACTGAAATCAGATTCTGTTCTTGTTCAAGCCATTTTAACCTGTTAAGTCTCATGTTGTTGGTTTTAACCAACTGCCATCCAGAGAACTTTGGATCCCAACTCTGGTCACTCACTTTATTGCTTCTCCCGCTCAGCTTCTGGTCCACTACAAATTCAGAACGAATGCCTTTTTCGTTTTTAAAGCTATTTTAAAAAATCTACTCAGTCAAGCAGGGCCTGTGACAGTGTCAGTGCCCTTCCCACAAGCAGGGGGCAGGTCACTAATCCGAGGAACAGGGGTTTAAACACTATGCAGCCCCTCTGTGGCCCCGGCATCTCAGGCAGGGGTTGGAGACCCCCCCGCCCCGCCACTGTATTTGGTGGCATGCTGCCAGGTACCAACTCCTAAGACTTCTGGGTTGTCGGATTTTTGTATCATCTAAAAGGTGCCTTCCCCTGAGCAAGACAAATTAATTCCAGGTAAAAAGTTACCGATTTTTTTTTTTTTTTAAATGACAGGCTTACAGGCACATCTGCAAATCCAAACTCTGCCCCAAACATATCCAGAGGGAAAGTATATTCCATCAACAGGGTAAAAAATAAAACTGCACAGACAAGGCCAGAGCTTTCACCCACAACTAGAGCCATTTAGGAAGCGAATGGCAGACTTGAGCACACAGGCTCAACGTTATGCAGACGCTTCTGTCCCATCAGAAGGGTAAGTGGGGAAGTTAACGGTGTCATTGCTGGGAATGATGGCCCCATAGAGACTGGCCGGGGTTCCCATGCGACAAGCCAGACTCCAGGCCCGGTGCAGGGCAAGACTCCCCGGTCCTTCAGAGCCCCGAGTGCACCACTCCTCCGCACTGGTCCCTTCCGGCAGACCCGAGAACTGAATGCCGCCCCCCATCGCTCCCATGCCCAGCATCCTTGCAAATCACAAGTCCACCCGAGCTCCGAGGCCCCATCCCCGCACCGCCTCCTTCCCCAGCGTTTCTGGACGAACTCCAAGCCCTCCTCCGGGCCCGCGGCATTTCCCACGGTCGCTAACTTTTGCCAGTTTTAATTATAATCCCTTGCATTCCCATCTAAGCTCTCTGCAGGCGCAGCCTGGAGCTCGCTGCTCTCCTATTCCCCACAGCGGTGGTTTGCACTTTTGGTGGTGGCCAAAAGCCCCGGGGATTTCACCACACGGACGCAGGACCCTACCCTGGGGGCTCTCCGCCTGGGCGGACCGAGCGAAGCCTGGAAATCGGAACTTGTTTTTAAGGTTGCCCAGGTCTTCCGCCACCGAGGTGGGCTTAGAAGGGAGGCCCTATAGAGCCGGGCGTCTCGCTAACGTCCCGCGTGTGAAGGCACCGAGCAGCCTCTCCGAGCGAGACCCGGGGCGGCCCAGGGCCCAGCACGCGGCGCGCTAACAAAGGCCTGGTCCCGGGCCGCTCGGGCGCGGAGCTCGCCCCACGGCGCCGCGACCACGCACGGCCGCCGGGCCCGGGCGCAGCCGATGCGCGCACCGGCGCTGGTGCGCCGGGCCTCGGGGCGCCGGGGGACGTCGTGGGGCCCGGGCACGGAGGGGAAAACCACGGAGAAAAGTAAAATCGTAAGAGCGCAGGGAACGAGCCCTCCCCCCGGGCGTCAGAAGTCCGAAGGGCGGCGCTGCGGGCGGCTTCGGCGTCGGGGGCAGGACCGGAGCGGAGCGCGGCGCCGAATCCGCGGCCAGGCCGCCAGGGCCGTGGCGGCGGGGCGCGCGGGGAGCCGGGCTCGGGCCGCCCTCCGCCGCCGCACGTGCGGGCCGCACACAAAGGACGCGGCGGCCCGCGGCCGGCTCCCGGGCCCGCCCTTGTCCCTGCGCGGCCGCCATGGCGGAGCCGCGCCGGAGCGCCGCGGGGCCCGCCGCCCCAGCCCCGGCAGGCCGCGCTCGCCCCGCTCCGCCCCGCCGCCCGCCTCAGGCGCCGCGGGCCTCCAGGCCGCCGCCGCGCGCCCTCCCCCGGCCGGGCGGCCACCCGCTTACCGGCAGCCGGGCGCGGCGAGCGCTCGGGCTCCGGCAGGTCCCCGAACAGGTCCATGGCCGAGGCTGGGCGGCGGCGGCGGCGGCGGCAGCGGCGGCGGCGGTCGCGCAGCCCGAGGGCGGCGGCGGCAGCGGCGGCGGCGGCGGCTGCGGGGCGGTGGCGGCCCGGGCGCCGTCAATCACCCGAAGGCGGGCCCGGAGCACCACCAATCGGCGCGCGGCGTGGCGCGGCCACCCCAGAGTCCTGCGCGCGGGCGGGCGGGGCGGCGCGCGTGCGCCGAGGCTGCTTTCGCCCTGGCGGGCGGAGCCGACGTCGCGGCCGCCACGTTCCCGGCAGGCGGCGGGTCTGGCCCTTCCTGCTGTCGTCCGGCCGGGCGTCCGGGCCCGGGGAGCCCGCCTGGGGAGAAGTGTAGACGCTCAGGGGCAGCGTAGTGGGCACCCTTGTCCCAGAAGGCGTTCCTGGGCCGGCGCTGACCCCGAAGCCCCGGGAAGGGCAGGGTGGAGGGCGTGCTCCCCCGGCGCTGTCCGCTCCTGCCAGGGCTCTTGGCGGGCAGGAAAGACGGCGCCCTCGGGAGGCTGGGGCTCTGGCCCGGGATCGCCAGCCCGCACCCAGCGAGGCCTCGGCGTTCCCCTACCGACTACAGTTTGAGCAAATGTGGACATCGGGCTCTGGCAGAGCAGGGAAATGAGGCCCCTCTAATCATGTCTGAACAGACCAAATGCGAGCATAGGCCAAGCTACGAGCCTGGTCGAATACAGTGATTCTAGACCGATCAGAAATTTAACTGTGTCTAGTCTTCCTGCCTCTCAGATAAGATGGACGAACGCATCCGCTCAGGGCATCTCCTCTTGTTGACATTTTTCCAATCCAGAGCAAACCCATATCCTTAAATGTTTCCCCAGATTATCTGCCACGAACCCCAGTTTACTAAATACTTTCCAACATCCCGCCACCGAGGTTTCCGAGGGTGGTGGTCTCCCTCCCTCCCTGCGATGAGAAGGAAACCCAGCCTCTTCCACTACAGGTGTGTTTCTGGTGACATCTGGCTTTAGGACTTTAAAGGGTCCAACGAGCTTTCACCCCTGTGGGACTGCTCACTCCTCACTCGCCACAGAGAAGTGCTCCTCCCTCACGGCAGGAATATAATACAACCTCCCATGTCCCTGCCCCTCATGCACAGGGCAGCCCACCCAAAACCAAAACAGCTCTTGCTAAGCTCTCCAGGGATTTCCCACTCCATTGCTCAATGCAACTGACCTTTCTAGTCATCATTTTACACGAACTCCAGCAGTACTAACACTATTGGCCTCTTCTTGGCTTGCAAAACACGTCACTCTCCTGGCTTTATTCCATCTCTGCTCCTCCACAGGCCCAGTGCTATTCGTGGATGGAATTCTTTAAGACTTGATCCTGGGTCCCCTCCTCATCCCATACTCCCTCCCTTGGCAATCTCATCCACACTTGGCTTGAATTGCTGGTTATGTGATCATGGTTTGTTCAGGTACATATCCTACCAGCTCCAGATCCATGTGTTCAAATAAGTACCCACATGATATCTCGTGGACGTCTCAAAGGTACTCAAGCTCAACATGTCCCGACTGAAACCATTTTCTCCACTCCCCACCCCTATCCCCTTCAATCTGTTCTCCTTCCATGGTTGACACCTTGGGGTCCTACACCAGAACCCCCCCTAATGGAAGATAGCCTCTGAGGTGACCCCCATGGTCTCCATCTCCTAGTATTCAACCCTTGTGTGGCCTCCTTCCTTTGAGTGTGGCTGGGGCCCGTGACTTGCTCTGGCCAACAAAGTCCAGCAAAGATGTCAGGATGTATGTGATTATGTGGAGGTGATTCTTTCACACGGGTCTGTGACACCCATCCTGCTTGGGGACTCTCCCTCCCTTGCTGGCTTTCAAGAAACAAGTTGCCATGTTGTGAGCCACATTATGGGGAAGATGGCAGTAAGGAACTGAGGGTGGCTTCCAGGGGACAGCAAGAAACCAATGCTTCCAATCCAAGAGCGTGCAAGGCAATGAATGCTACCAACAGTTATCTGAGCTTGGAAGCAGATCCTTCCCAGTGGAGTCTCAGATGAGACCCAACCCTGGCCAACCCCTGACTGCAGCCGTGTAGAGGACTCACTTGTGCCCAGACTCCTGACCCGTGGAGACTGTGGGATACTAGATGGGCGTGGTTTCAAGCTGCCGAGTTTGTGCTACTTTGTTAGGCAGCAATAGATGCCTGCTACACCTTCCATCACCAAGTGCTCTTAGCTTCGTCTCCTGAATGTCTTTTGGATCCACTCCCTGACCCCACCCCCATCAAGCCTGTGTCACCGAGTCACAGCCTCCTGTCAGGCTTCTCTCTTGGGACTCCTCTCCATCCCTTGTACTTGTATTTCCCTCTCTTGTCCCAGGGCATTTTCTCAGGTCCTCTGGCTTGGAAGGTTCTCCTTGACCCCCTTCTCCTGGGTAAATTCCATTCGTTCCTCAGATTTCAGCTGAGTCATCAGTTCCTGAGGAAAAACCTTTCCTGAGTGCCCCAAGCCCCTCTCCTTTACAGCTGTTGTCAGAGTTCCAGATTTATAGTTATTTATGTCATTATTTCATGAACGAACCGTTATCTCCTATCAGAACGTGAGCTGGTGGAGGTCAGGAGCCATGTTTGGTCTTACACAGAACTGTACCCCGAGCAGCTGACACGTAATAGGTGCTCCCGCATATTGGTTGGATGAATGAACGAGTGAAAGACTACATCCATTCCTGAAGCTCAAAGTGCACGACACGAGCCTTCCTACCTCAGGAATGTCAGGAAGGTTGGAGCCAAGAGTGACGCCTCCTGGATGCTTGCTCAGGGCTGCCCAAGCCAAGCTGATTATTTTGCTCTTAGAAAAAACCTAGAACTTCTGCTTTCAAGAACTTTGTCTAGAGACCAGGAAAGTAAATACCTGATGACCCAAGACGTTATCAGCGGCCCATGTGGCAGATGGTATTTTCCAAAGTTTGCGGCCACAATATCTCCCATCCCTCCTGCTCTTCTGAAATGTAGCCACCTTCATCAAGAGGTAGGCTGGGAGTCGTCTCCCCGTGACCCTGGGTGAACTGTGACCGCTTTGACTGGTAGAGAATGGAAGGTGGGCCATTATATGACTTCCAAGGCTAGGTCCTAAAAGGCCATGCAGCTTCTTCCTGATGCTCTGGTGACACTTGCTGGGGAGTCAGTCAGCTAAGGAGCCCAGCTGCTCCGAGGCTTCCGTGCCAGAGAAGCCCCAGATGGGCGCTGCCTTTAGCAATGCCGGCTGAGCTCCCAGCCACTAGCCAGCGTTGGCTGGCAGCCTTGTCGGGTGAGTCATGAGGACATCCGTCCCTGAGGAAGCCTCAGATGACCCCAGCCCCGGCCACTATCTGACTGTGACCTTGTGAGAGACCCCAAGCCAGGACTGGCCGGCAGAGCCCTTCAAGAACTCCCGACCCACAGAATCGCAAGCAAAGTAAGAAATGTTTTTTAAGCTGCTAAATTTAGGAATAATTGATTACCCAACAATAATACCGGGAAAAGGAATTTGACATGGAGTGCTGACACATCAAAGAGCCAAAACGTCACTTCTCGGCCTTTTGGCAAAGGTCAAGTGCAAAAACCCAAAATGTAAGGGACTATCTTAGGGACCAGGTCATCAGGCAACCAGAAGGGCCTGGAGAAGACTGTGGGAGCCCCCCCTCCATGGGCCTGGAGGCTGTAAATGAGGGCTTAACGAAACGTGAGGAAGGTGGAGGAAAGAATACGTCATTACGTAGGTTCAGCACACTTGTTGCCCGCGATATTGTGGGAAATAGAAAATGTACCCAATGAACTGACGAATCTGGCTAAGGAGGTTTCCAGGGGCAACGCTGACAGTGCCAAGTGCACTGACAGCAAGGATCTCAAACAGGTGCCCAGCCCCGCCCTTCCGGGATTCCTGACCCACAAAATACAACCAAAATGGAGCGGTTGTTCCAAGCTGCTAAATGTGAGGGCCTTTACAACAGCAGCAGTAATAATTGAACAGCCTGATAAACACACTTGCGCACAGTGACAGACGGCTGGGAAATGGAAAAAAAAAAACAAAAAACCCACAAACAACTGTTCTGTCTTCCAGGGTGACGGGAAGGATTTTATAACAACCCTGGTTTGGGGAAGTTTGAATAAGTGTCAGGAAAAGTCTCTCACGCTTCGCAAAAGTCATTGACTTCACTATTCCTATTGCGAAGAAGGGGAAGAGAACTGAGAACACTATGCACCTATTTGGGGCCCGGCACTAGTTAGGTGCTTTGCATATTGATATTTTCATCTACTCTCTTAACGGCCTTTTGTGGAAAGTGATATTGCCTGTTTGACAGGTCTGCAGAGGGGCCCCCTTGCGTCTTCAGGTGAGGACCGATGAGCACTTGAGTAAAATAACCACCTAAGGCTGTGGGAAGAACAGTCAGGAAGGAACAGGGTTAGTAATTCTTGAAGTTCACAGCGGGCCAGGAATAGTTCCTGCATCTGCTCGCAGGAGAGGAAAACCCTCAAAATACAAGGGACATGTGTGTGCGTGGGTGCCAAGTGCCTGCGTGGAGCGCACAGAGCTGGTGAAAGGGCCGTGACGGGGCCTGGAGGGGACAGCTTCTGGCCGGGGCTGTTCCCGTGAGGCGTGGGGGCGCCTGGGCGGCTCAGTCAACTAAGCGTCCAACTCTTGATTTCGGCTCAGGTCATGATTCCAGCCTGGTCTTGGGATCAAGCCCCGCATGGGGCTGTGTGCTGAGCATGGAGTCTGCTTAAGATTCTCTCTCCCTCTGCTTCTCTCCACCACCCACCCACACACACTCTCTCTCGAAAAGAAAAGAAAAGAAAAGAAAAGAGAAAAGAAAAGAAAAGAAAAGAAAAGAAAAGAAAAGAAAAGAAAAGAAAGAAAAGAAAAAACATCAGGTGTGATTTTTAGATTCATTTTGGGTAGAGGGCAGGACACAATGGCGTGAATAAGCCCCGGACTGGCAGCTCTGTAAGGAACGGAGAGGAACTGGGTGGTGGGTAGGACTCGAGGTCCCAAGTGAACTTGGGGTCATTGACAAGGGGTCCTAAACTCCAAAAGGATGAGTTTAACTCGGTGGGAGAGCCACAGACACTTTCACAAT